GAAAGATACCGGGACAATGAAGCAAGTGGGAGTTGAGGGTGAGTTGCTGAAAGATTCACCTAGTGATGTTGTAGCGGATACTCAAGAAACCCCTGAGACTGTTGATGAATAACCAAAAGCGGAGCAAGTGACACCTGAGTAGGTGTTGAAAAGATCATTCAGAGCCATAAGAGTACTAGATAGGTATGTACCTTCTTTACACTATTGATTGGTGATTGATGAAGGGGAACGAGAGCCCCTTGATGAGGCCCTACAATTGGAGAATACAACTAAGTGGGAGCCAGCCATGGATGATGAGATGTCTACGCTTCAGAAATGCATTGCTCTTTCATCTGTTGAGGCTGAGTACGTGGCAATAGCTGAAACTTGAAAGGAGATGATATGGATGATAGACTATCTAGAAGAATTAGGCAAGAAGCAACGCGAGAAGATTCTTCAGGTAGATAGTTAGAGTGTCATGTAGTTGGTGAGAAACCCAGTCTATCATTCAAAGACAAAACACAGAAGGCGATACCATTTCATTCGGAGGTTAGTGGAAGATGGTGATGTGTTTGGAGAAGATAGAGGGTGCAAGGAATCCAACAAACATTTTGTGTTGATGTTGGAACATTGAGGTTGTGCAAAGCCTCAAGTGGTATGGTACAGACTGAGAATGAATGAAATTCTTGGTTGACTAGATTAGTCTCCAAATGGGAGATTGTTGGGATTGACTAGACCAATCTCTAGTTGGGAGATTGTTGCGATTGATGGATCAGTCTCTAAGTGGGAGATTGTTGGGATATGGAGTTATTTAGAAGATATTTCGTAAAGATCATATATTTGGAAGATATTTCGTAATGATGTGATAGAGATATATATGGTAGATAGTTGTTAAAGATTTGATAGAGATATATTTGTTAGATTATATCTTGTAGGTTTAAATCTTTGGGAGCTATATTTAGTAAATTGAAACCATATATATAACTGTCAGTCTTCTCTTCATTCTCTGTATTCTATGTTGTTGTACATATCTAAAGTCATCAATGATAAAACCTTTAGCCAATATTCTTCCTTGTATTTTCTCTCTCCTGTTCTTTGTGTTCATCTTTATCGAGTGTGTGCGTTGTTGAGCGATCCTAACAATTGGTATTAGAGCGAACAACTTGTATCGCTCCTAACTGTAGACTCTATCACATTTTATTTTAATAAGTTTTCACATGCTTTTCTCTGGAGTTCGGGTCTAGGTTCTACAACTACCTAAAACTTATGTGGAGGCCTCAAAGTTTCGAGCAGAATTCTTTGTTGTAAAAATCGGAACATGATATGTGGAAATGATCTAACCCAAGTGAATGTAAGACCCTCCTAGCTCTAGTGCCCTACTCTTAACTCAATACAATTAGGCATGCTTTATTAAGGAGATAACGCTATCAGTCACCTAGAATAAATAACTCTTTTTCTAAGTATACATGCAAGCTCAATAGAGAGATAAACATTCATCAATCACTTGTAGCACGTATCATATTCTCAAAATAATCATGTAAGCTCAACATGAAGATAACATTCATCAATCACCTCAAGCATAAATCAGAGCAATCTAACAAAGTATCTAGTACAACAGAAATATCTCATACAACGTGCAATTCAAAAATATCATACTAAGGGCATTCCAGTAATTTGCCACAAAAAACATAGCATACTTAACAAACGGCTCACCTAATGCCCTAATCATGCATAATCTAACCTATGTCAGGTTATGCTCGCATGCTAGCACATCCAAGCGATTCGTATAAGTATTGTTCAAGGAAATTGTAAATGGTTACTTAATTGGTCATGTGTGCCTCCCCCATGCATGTTTGGTGCTTCAAATTTCTGAAAATTTTCTCTAGTTGGACCTAATTAAGGTTACAATAGGCTTAACATTGAAATCGGGATGAAAAGCAATCAAATGAAAGTCGAGTTGAATGAAAAACCACCTCTCACATTGTTAGGATTTATGCCCTAAAGCCTCGTAATTAATTATTTAATTTTTAATAATAATTTTTATTATTTTATTCACAATTTAATATTATCCATTACATAAAAATTATGTAATATTGAATAGCATGTGATTGACCTACAAGAGGATCGTGTTCAAGTAATAACTTAAAGAGTTATAGTATATGAATAAGGTTGGGTGTGTTAATACTATTTATATGACCGTATTTGTAATTGTTACAAATGATTTAATCTAAATTGTTCATAGGGAGACAATATTTCACATGATTATATGCGACTCGGTTTTAATCCTAGGTAAGTATGAACTCTTGCTAATATGATACCTTGTACTTTGATTTGCATGAGTAAAAATGACTCTTATAGCCAATTCAATATGTCTACCATTTTGTGGAATTGACCTAGGACATCCATATTGTCCACATAGTCGTGGGTAAACTTCATTAAACATCTAATAATTTGTAAACAAGTGTATTGAATTTTTGTATTGACCATGAAGGGTTTAAAATCGATTGAAAATTTTTATAATAATTTCATTGTATTTTTTTTTATGCACGATCCTCATTTTAAAAATTAATTAAATCCTAACATTTTTAGGTTGGTTGATTTTGTAATATTTTACGATGAATCTATGCATGTCTAACCCCACTGAAAGGGTAAAGGCAAGGGCACTGTAATTCCTTTTAGAAATTGAATGGATTCGATCTTATACATAGGCGATGAAGGTAATAAAAAAAAGGAAAGAAGATGGCGATGAAGGTAATAAAAAAAGTAAAGAAGATGAGTTTTTTCTTTTGTCACTTAGCTTGGGAGCCGTGCAAGATGAAAGTCTCATGCACGGTCTTCAATGAGAGAAAGAAGTAAGGAATGAAAGTCTCATGCACGGTTTTCAATGAGAGAAAGAAGTGAGGAATCCTCTTTTCGACTCCGACTCTCCCACTTCAGTCGTTTCTTTTCTTTATGTTACCTCGAAAATAGCTGCTTCAGCTTCAACCACTCGAATTTTTGATATTCCTTTTTATTTCTCACGAATGACATCTTCTTCTGGAAATCCTAGCTATTTTTTAAAATTTCATATTAAATCCAAGGTTATTAATGTAATATTGGGGAATCTCATTGCTATTACTCAAACAAGCATGAAACGTATGCTTGCGTATTTGTCCATCGGTCAAATCGGATATGTAATTATTGGAATAATTGTTGGAAATTCAAATGGTGGATATACAAGTATGATAACTTATATGGTGTTCTATATCGCCATGAATCTAGGAACTTTTGCTTGTATTGTATCATTTGGTCGTACCGAAATTGATAACATTTGAGATTATGCACGATTATACACAAAAGATCCTCTTTTGGCTCTTTTTTCAGAAAACCTCATTAACGAGCATTGTTTCTATCTACTATTATCTCAAAATAATCAAGAAACCAAGGTATAACCCCTCCTTTAAGATCTCCTAGGAATATCAATGAACCCGATTATTGAAATTGCTCAAGATAACCCGAACAAAAAGGTCTATTGCTCAAGATTACCCGAACAAAAGGAAGATCTTAGTCACATTTTATTTGTACTTTCCCATCATTTTAGTTATTACTTTGGAATTTTCTAGACATTCTCTTTTACTTATTTTGCAAACTTGATGTATAGTTTAAGATGTTGGAATGTATTATGATGCATTATTTTAATACTTGGTTTTAAGATGTATTATGCATGAAGCTTAAGATTCATGAGTATGTGACATGCATATTTTCGTTCTTAAATGATTTTCATTATTTTTGGCATTATAGATCTAATTTAAAAAAAATCAAAATAGGCTTAGTATTTATATTAATTTCATATCGACATTTACCTTATTATTTATATAAGATAATTATTTAAAAGTTCATATACTTTCCATTGCATCTAATGTTGTTTAGTTTAAATTATTTAATAAATGTTGGGTTATTTACTTCTAACTAAACCACGTTGCAAGAAAATGGAGAGCCCCGCCCGTTTCCGTTTGAGTAGATCGTTCCAAGTCAGAAGGCAGTTTGAGTCAGGGCCGCTTAATTATCTTATTCTAATTCATAACAAGTACCTAAAATAACGGTAAATGGTCAAGGTCAAGGTCATGGTTAGCCGTGTTTTATGAAAGGCATGTGTTTTATAAAAGACATAAATAATTGTTATAAAAATTGAAAAGTGTTTAAATTAGTAAATAATTTAACTATTATTTGTTGCCCTTTTTTTAATTCCTAAATTTACAAAAGATGCCATTCATTTATGAATTACTTAAAATTTAATTATTATATAAAAAATCTAAAAAAATTGTGGATAACTTTTGTTTTTGTAAAAGTTTTTTAATTATTAAATATAAAAAATAAACTAAAAATGAAAAAATAATTAGTAAAGATTAGCATGGAATATAATGTATCATACTGTTCCTAAAAATGATAGTTTTAGAAAATTATTCATCATTGGTTATATATTTTCTAAATTATATTGACCTAAAAGTAACTTATTATTATCAACTAATTAAATACACAGCAATTGATGAAAATAAACTTTGATTTATTAAATTTTCCATAAATAATTATAATTATACAATTTTAAATTGAATTAATGAAAATTAATATGAAATTTTAAAAAAGGGATGAAACTATTCCATTTATTCAGCAAAAATTATACTTTAATAATAATATTATATTAATAACTAAAATCAAGTTAAAATATCACATACTTACAAGTCACACCTCATTTACCAACATTAAATTTTGTTAATTAGATTAGATTGTAATCTTATTCACGTGACAACTCCACACACACTACCTTTCCAAAAAAAAAAAAAAAAAAAAAAAATTGAAGAATAGCTCAAAAGGGAAAGCCCCAATATCTATTAGCCTATAGGTTCTCGCATTAACTATCGGGTAGGGAGAATAATTATAGTAGTTTATAGTAGTGAAAGCTTCGTATAATTCAAGCATATAATTCAAAAAAACAAGAGTTTGATTAACCCAACTAAAAAAATGTGTCGCGCACCTCGGATTAAAATTAATGAAGAGTTTATTGCATTGATTTATAAATGAAAACATTTAAATGACATAATAAAAATTGTGGAGAAACTTAGATCCTTGTTAAGAGCCCTGTTTGTTTTGCATTCCATTATTCAGTTCTTCACCTTGATGTGTAGCTTATCTGTGAAACAAATACAAATACAATAATGAATGAATTAATTAATTATTAAGAGAAAATAAAAATGATTTAAAAAGGAAGAGAACATACCAGCGGCTTCTTTCTCACCACAATCTTCATCGCACTTAACTTCGCAGAAGCTTTGGCCATTGCCCTTTTCAAGGCATTCCTTCTCGCATTTTTCGTAGCATAACCTATACTTGGCTTCAAATTTAGCCTCATATTTGGCCTCCTTCGCGCTTTCAGTGGCACTCGAAACCTGCAATGCAGCCACCACCACAATGCACACCAACAACACTGCAATCATCTTCTTCGCCATTTTATTTTATTTTATGCTTTTTTTTTTCTTTTTTTTTTTGGCTTTCAAATGTTTTTTTTGGGAGTGGATGAATGTTTGAAACGTTGAACGACTCTTTTATAGGCTTCTAATGACACTAAATTTAGATCATTTTCGCCTAATTGTGTAACTGAACAAGGATTATTAGCCATTCATTTATATAACAAAAAAAATCAAATCCAAACTTCAAGGATTGAAAGTGCAATTTGTTTAAAAAATGATTGCGTTTCGTAACCCCTAAGTGGTCGTCATCATTTATACTCGTATACTCATTTAAAACTTAAGTGTGTGAGGATAGATGATGACGAAGATAGCGCCTTTGAATAAGTAAAAATTTAGGATCGTTACATTTTCATTCTACATAAATATTATGAATATGTCGATCTCTAAATATAGTTTTGATATGTTGACCAAAAGTTGCTACCATCATTCTTTATACTATCCTAAATTTTTATTTATTTAGAGTTGTTACTGCCATTATCATCTATACTCATATATTCATTTAAAACTTCATACGAATATAAATGATGAAAGTAGAAACTTTAAATAAGTAGAAATTTAGGATCGTTACATTTTCATTCTACATAAATATTAAGAAGATGTCGACCTATAGAATTTTTAATATTTATACTCCAGGCATGGATCCATATTATATAGAGGTCAAATTTAATAATGTTTTTTAAGTCAATAGCATCATTCTATTATATAAATTAATAGTGGACTTTATTTAGGGAATTTTTAGAAATTGTTTATGAGTTTTAACCATTAATTAAAAATTAAATTCAAATATGAGGATAAAATATATCGGAATAAAAATTGAATTTAAATCTATAGGGTTTAGGGTTATTATATAAAAACTCTTTTATATAATAATATACATTATTCTTTGATGTTTTCGATATCTAAAAATTTACTCCTAATCTTGTAGTAGTTAATCATTCTGTCACGACCCAAATTTTTAGATTCGAGTTACGACAAACTTGTAAGAATATAAATAAAAATACGGCAAAAAATTTCACGTTTAAAATAAAATATTAACACATTTTATTAACAAATTCAAGTAAAAGTTTGAATATATTGGGTCTGGTAAATAAAATAACTTGAAATATTGAAGTAGTTAAAATACGGTGTGGCTCTATATGGCACATGATCCAGATCTACATCCATCCTCGATCGGTTCATTTTCGTCCCGTGAAAAACATGAGAAAACTTGAATGAGTAAAAAGACTGAGCAAGTAGCCTACTTGTAAGCTTTTAATCGTGTCCTTAGAGTGTGCTAGGATACTATACTCTTTCTTGTCATGTTCTTGACCTAAGAATTGAAGCCCATAGGTTTTGCCCTTGAGTTCTAAGTTCTTGTCATGATCTAGTTTTGAGTTCTTAAACTGATTATGATTTAAGGACCTTAGTTCTAAGGTTCTAGTTTCTTACTCTTGAGAACTTGGATCTTGACCCATATTCTTGATCTTTGTCATTATCACGAGGTAGCATCTTCATTACTTAAAAATGGATGAATCTAGAGTTCCCCTTAATCATTGTATAGCCTCCTAATTGTTTGAAAACTTAGGGCTAATCTTATAGCTTATAACATACCTTAATCATGATACTCAATAATATTCAAAGTTCTAAGTTCTAAGGTGAGCACAAGTCATTAACTTCCTCGTGTCAGGAGTTCTAGAAAGATCTTATATCTTTGTTATGGATAGCCTTATTGCTTAACTTAACCCTTTCTTGGTTAAGTTTGTCAACTTGATCCAAATGACTTGAAACCTGGAATATATCTTAATGTCCTTATAAATAGACATTACTTAAAAGTTTTAAACTATTTGAAGAATATTTGGATCTTAAAATGTCTTAAGAAACCCTAGGGATGATACGGTTATTTTACCCTTAAATCTTGGTTTAGCTTATACACGAGTTCCAATGACATTGAAACTTTACACCATCCTTATTCATCATGAAATAAGGCCTATTATAAAATTTCAAGTATTTGGAGGTCATTTAATTCTTGAACTAAAGTAACCGTCATAAGGCATTTTGGTCATTTTGTATCGTTTCTTGGTTTAACTTCATATATACACTTAAAATGTCATATTATGCTCAACTTCAAAGTTTTATGGGTAGCGGTGTTAATTTAGTGAGTTATTTTAACGTTATTTGATTTTGAGCAAAATGATCGGTTCAGGTTCTTAACTCAATGTTCTTAGTATTTTTCTTTCATATTTTCTTTCATATTCTCTGGATTCATATTTTTCTTCCGAAAAGTCTAAGATAGAAAGCTTTAGAGATAGATTTTATATCTTTTGGTGAGTTATAGATTAAGTTATGCCCTCGAAACTTTACTGAAAAACATTATTTTCGTCGAAGAAAAATCCAAAATTTTCTATTAGTTGGGGACATCCCAGGCACCCAATTCCTTCACCGAACTTCTTTATCCTTCCTTCAAGCTTAAAATTAATTTTGGAAGGATGAATTCTCGCATATACCCCTGATTTTTCGATTCTTTCTCTCGGCACGCTACCTATTATTCTCAAATTTGGAGGCTTATTGGACAACTCGATAAAGAACTCCTCACCTCTAAACTTCCCCATGGATTCTTCTCCTCTCATTCATACCGAGCTCATGTCCTCTCATTCATACCGAGCTCATGGTATCCTTGGATTTAAACTTAATGGACCGTGGTGGATGAATTTAGAGTTTTCCTCAAATCTTTATTTCCTTGTTCCTTATGTCCCTAGAAAGTGAATGGAACTAGTTTAGATGGACAAATTTTCTTGTAGCGTTCAGCTGGATTTTCACATTTTTCTTCCTTGTTGACCATGGACGCTTGAATTTGGGGAGTGAGTTATGGACACTTTCAGGTCTCGCTTCCTTTATGAAACTCGTTAGGGAGCTTATTTAGACAAGCTAGGAAAATGGTTAACTATAGCCATCAAATTTAGAAGGAATATGAGGAAGAGAAATCCACAGAGGAATTGCTTCTAAATAACACGGGTTTGAGTAACCCTCAAGGCTTGATTCTTGTTCTAAATGGAACCCGCTATTATATACTTTATAGAGAAAATTTAGACCAACATTAAAACCTCCAGAATCTTCGCAAATAGTTCATTTAATGGAGTTCTTCATCGGAAATATGTACTCCACTTGGACTTGCTCACCTCAACTTTAAATTTTAACCGTTGGATGTGATGAGGTGTGTGTCTTCAAGATACTATCAAGATTTGATGAAGATACAAATGTGGGATAGAGAGATATTGTAGATTTAATGCAAACGGCTCACGGCTCACGCTCTCGAATTTTCTAGGTTCAGGCGATGGCAGCTTCATAAATAAATCAAACTTTAAGGGTATTTTAGTAATTTTCCATTTTATGAATTTTTTATTTGAAAAATCTAAATTTTTTCTAAATCTAAAAATCTTTGATCTCTAGTTGGTCAATTTTATCTCTTACAGAACCTTGTGTTATGTCATGACTATGTGATGATGTGTTATGACTTATGTTATGCTATGATATGTCATGTACACCATGTTAGCGTGATTGTTTTCAAGACGATGAGATATTGATATGCCAAGAATGTATTCATGATATTGATATGCCAAGAATGTATTCATGTGATATGCCAAGAATGTATTCATGAAAATGTTTATGAAAGAACGAATGTACTATCTACATATTATATGATTTAAAGTTATGAAGATTTCATAAATTTTTGTAAGTTACGTGCATCGGGATACTTCCTTGTTATGATGAATACAGACGCATACGTTACGATATTTATGTATGTCATGATATCATGCGGGCTTCTTTCCCTCCATGGCTCTGGCAGCGTGAGCGTGTGCTAGCTGAAGGGTAGACCCAGGAGTTACGAACACATCCACCTAATGGGTCCATGCGCACATACGTGGGTTGTGTGTAGAGAAGTACTACACATCGAATTTTAGTTCGATTGGAAAGTAGAGTTCATCCCACTATGGTTGCTTGTGTATGCATTTTCTGACTCGAATAGTGGAGTCATTTAGTGTATTTCTTAAAATATTCAAGTTACGTGTTATTCTTATTTTCAATTAAAGATACGACGCTCTTGTTTGGTTGACGACTTCACGGTGATGGCCATGAGACCAAAGCTAGGGTTGTTGCATGCATATTGTTTTCTTTCGTAGTCATTAGGGTAGTTCAAGGTAATTAATTTTATTTCCTTGTGTTATTAAAAATTCGTGTTCATTTATTTTCAGCCACACTATTTTAATTACTTTATTATGAACATGTAAGTTCATGACTTTGTTAGGAAACATTTTAAATGAATTTCTCGCGCATTGTAGACTTGTATGCATATAGCGGCGTCCTTAATTTCAATAGAAAATTATTGTCGTTACATGTGCACCTTATTAATATTTATTTTAACCATCATATCCTTAGTGTCCTCCCATTCAAACGTGGTCTTAGTTTATTCATGTATCATTCTTTTACTCGAGCGTCACATGCCTAATAGTTTCTTCTTTGTTTAGTTCCTAAACCATGTTCTACTACGAGAGGTTATACTCAAATACCGACTATAATAACTCATGCATAGGATTTAAAATTTGGATTAAGTGCTTGCGTTTCAACACAAGCTTTTTCAACATCCCTCAAATTCTTCACTCACTCACCTGCTTCCTAAGAAAACTCTCCAAAAGTCAATCTCCAAGCTATTTAGATGTTGTCTCAATTTATTCATATGCCCCTCATATTCTCAAAATCCATTTGTCTCAATTTATTCAAATGCCCCCTTTTACTTGAGAGACACGTTCTGACTTGCTTTCGCCTTACTTCATCCTTAAACCACGTCCTATTGGGAGAATTTATAAACCACGTCCTAATTCTAAATCCTCAAACAACGTCCTATTGGAATAATTTGGATTAGGATTTAGAATTTATATATGACACATGTAGGCCCGATATTCCTTGCATTATCTTCTTGTCTTGAAGAGCTTCAAAGAGTTAAAACTTATCCC